ATAAAGCATGCTTTTGGAGTGTTTCACCTACTGTCATGGACTGAATGTTTGTGTCCCCTCAAAATTCATGTTGAAGTCCTCACTCTGAGTGTGATAGTATTTGTAGATGGGATCTTTGGACGGTAAATAGGTTAGATGAACTCATGAGAAGAGAGCCTTAGTCTGAAGGAATTAGTGCCCTTATGAGAAGAGACAGCAGACAGCTTGCTATCTCTTTGCCCCACCCCCACCTTACCCCTGGCAGACACAAAGAAGAGGTCATGTGAGTGCATAGGAAGAAGACAGCCCTCTGCAAATCAGAAGGAGAGCCCTCACAAGAATAAGGTCATGCTATCATGCAGATCAGGTACTTCCAGTGTCTAGAAATTGTGAGAAAATAAATTTCAATTGCTTAAGCTACCTGTTACGTTTTGTTATGGGAGCTAATGCTGACTAAGAAACATACTCTGGATTTGGTTCACAATTAATAAACTACATTTCTATTTTGGGTTATCAAAAGATGTTACATTATTTTTTATTGTGACTACAAGTCCAAGCATTGGTCTGAACTTTCAGATTTCTTTACACAAAAATTCTACATTTTCTCTGTGGAGAACAGAGCTAAAGCAAATTAGAGATCTGTTTTTCGGTTTCTTTCTTTTTTAATTATTCATTTATTCACATGTGCATACATTGTTTGGATCATTTCTCCCCCCTGCGCCTTCCCTCACTTTTTCCCCTCCTCTCCCCCTCAGTTCCAGGCAGGTCCTGTTCTGCCTTTATCACTATAGAGCTCCAAATCTGGTTAGCAACTGATACTTGATGCTTTCTCCTTCCATTTCCACACCTTTGTATGTCTGAGCAACATTTGCTTGTTTGACAGCAAAATATTAACCCTAGAGACTTGTACTGACAAAATGTAGTCTCCCTAAATCCATGATTATTTGTGACAATTTCTTTCCTATTTACTGCATGATGAATTTTGACTTTTCTTCAAAGCTTATTATGGGTAACACATCACAATATATGCAGAAATATATAACAATAGAGAGATATTTTCTTATCAAGGTCAACACTGGGTTTCCTCTTCTTTCTTGCACAGAGTGAGGTAACCTGGACTGGCTCAAGCTGGCTTTAACACCAAAAATGCAAATTGACCAGTGTGCTATTAGTGTATTGTTATTTTTTTTTATTTTACCCTGGAACTGGAATGAACGCACGCATTAATTCCAGAAGCAAATAAATTCTTCTGATTATAAATGTTTTTATACATTCTACTTATAAATGTTCTACTTATAAATGTTTTTAATTAGTCTAATGGAACCATATAACTTGTTATGTGAGAGTAATCTGATTTCAGTGAAACACTGAAAAAGTTGGTGAATATTACTTTTTCTGTCCATAAACAACAACTTCATATTCTTACCCAGTGGGATTTAGTTGGCTTTAATATTCATGTACTCTGTTTGGTAACAGAGCAAGTCATGTTCCTTTAAAATAAACTTTATAAACAACAAAGATTTACTCAACACAAGGGTTTATTAAGTGATGAAGAAAACATTTTTCTCAAATTTGGAATTTGAGATCATGTATATTTTATCATTGCAAGTTTTGAGATAAATATGTTTACAAAGCTAAAACATAGCTATTACAGTTACATCCTAGACAATTCCTTAAGTTGTCACCAGTTCTAGCAAAATTATGATTTCTGACATAAATAACTATCACTAATACAAGTGGAATATCTATTGAATAAGATACTCAGAATAATGGGCCTAATGACTCCATTGCATCTAGTAGATTGCTTTTCATCCACATTTGGCAAAAAGTTCCACCGGAAACTTCACTTAACAGTCTCACTAACAGAATCGCTTTGATGAGGCCCCCAACAAAGTTTTTGTTAACTACTGAAATGTGACAACTTAGTCCTAATCTTGCATAAGTTGTCCTTAAACTATTTGAAGTCTGGTCAAGTTACTACCTTTGAGAAGAGATTTTTTTAGAAATCAGCATTTGAGTTCTGTGTTAAAATAGAGTTTAACTACTTATATTGTTAATTCTGTTGTATAATATTCTGATTTCCCAAAACCAAACAAAACATAAGGCCCCAGTGGGCTGCTAAGTTTCTGAAATTGATCCTAGCAGCCTGATGAGCCATCTTCTTATTTACCAAAACAAATTGCAATGGAGGGAGACAAAGAGAAACCATTTCAGTACATAATCTAGATACTGGCCTCTATCCTTACTAAACATGGGACAGCTGACTGGCTAAGAGTTAAAACAAGGAGGACTGGGAGAACAAGGTACCTGTTTTAGAATAAGCATAAAAGTCTATGCAAGTCCACACAGAATACACACACACACACACACACACACACATACACACACACAAGTTGGGTAGTCAAGGGAAAGATCACTTTGTAAGGTCTTCCATTGACTATGAGCTAAGTATCCCACTTTATCAGTTTTTCCCCCATAAACTTAATCTCTAAGCTAATACTCACTTTAAGGAGATACTCCAGGATGTTTAGTGAGCTCTGAGAGCTTTGTCATAAATCAAAGTTCATTGAAAAATTCACCTGCTGACAAGTAGTTCTCTTGAGTGCTTAGTTTTAGAGAATTTCCTTTTGGCCTCCTCTGCTTAATCACAACACTGTTAGTGGCTCAAATCTGAGCTAACAGACAACCATCTTCTCCTGCCTAACCTTCACTGAAACTGTTGTACCATCCCGAATCAAACTTATGCCAAGTCATTCCATTTTGTAATAACAAACCTTCTATTTTTAATAAAATCTTTCCTTCTCTAGTTTCAGTCTCTCTCTCTCATTTTCATCCATGAAAAACATCTTTATTCACTATATCACTGGTGAAGGTGAGAAGGTAGAAATACCATATGTAGGTAACTCCCTAACTGGAAGTGTTTAATAGTTTAGTAATTATCCTGAACAATGTTCATTTTGTTTTCCACCAGGTACTGTCCACCTTAAATGTCTAGAGGAATTACATCCTGAGTTTTGAGAGTAAGTTCAAATATTTAGAATAAGTTCAAGATGCAAAGACCATTTTCTGTCCTTTAACATAGATAGATCGATAGATAGATCGATAGATAGATAGATGATAGATAGATGATAGAAGATAGATGATAGATAGATGATAGATATAGATAGATAGATAGATAGATAGATAGATAGATAGATAGATAGATAGATAGATGATAGATATTGCAAGTTACAATGACTACTCACTGGTTTCCTCAAAGTAATCAAATGTGTTCATGATCCAACCAAACCTCTTTGAAAAGGTGATGACCCATAACCACGGAGACATTTCGCCCAACTCCCTCTGCTGCACAGGCAGCTGTGAGGGAATGTGGCCAGCACCTGGGCAAGATTAGCAACTCAACTGCCATAGTCAGACAGAGATTGGGGCTCATATGGGACGTGCAAACTCTCCATTGCCTTTTGAAGTCAAATCTGATGTGGATTTGCTCTCAACAAAGAACAAAGTGGGAGTGTGAAGACATCAGGAACAGAGAGACATAGAAGTCAGGATTTGATCACTGGACTGGAACTTGTCAGGCGTGCATTTTGGGGCAAACACTGGGAAAATCTGAACCCCAAATCTGCCTGCACAAGGCGTCTAGAACTCTCAGTTCTCCCAGACCTATCTAGTTCACCCTGCCCCAGGATGCCCAAACTTCTCCAACCCCGAAGGGGTGCTCACCCAGAGCTAGGAGTCCCTTCATGCCTCAGCTTTGGATCATACTGCAGGGGCCTTAGTCACCTTCTTGCCTCCTAGGCTATCCTTATCTCACAGAGCAGTCAATTCTTCGAGGCTTGGAAATGTGACTTGGTGTCGCTTAAGAAGTTTCAGCCGCACCCCTGCAGTGCACGGTGCTTATCTCCGCGTGGATCAGGCCTCTCGCCTCGCGCGCGGCGCCACCTTTCCTTGGGCGCCCTAAGGCGCACAAAACTGAGGCGCGACTGCAAATTTAACGTCCCCTCCTCCGGCAACACTCCCTTAACTGTTGGGTAATATTGCGGCCGGCGAGGCTACTAGCTCCAGGCACGAGAAGAAAGAACGTGGGCTTTATGGAGGGTGCGAAGTGGATCCGCCGCGGATTCTCGCCACCCTTAGCCCGGGTAGGAGCGCGTGGGTCGAGGGTGGGGCCACAACAAGACCACTGGGCTGGCAGCGCGGACCCGGCAGGAGGGGCCGCGGGAACAGTGGCGGTCAGCAGCAGTGAGGCAGGGACCCCTGCAGCCTGCTCCCCGCTGCCTCACTCCCAAGATGTGGTCCTGCTGCAGCGGGACCACTGCGCGGGCTGTGATTTTGTCTGGCAGCTTCTACTGAGCAGCTAATAGTATAACAACCCGGCTTTGATAAATCTGAACTAATTACCCCTCTTAATTAAAGTCTTTAGCAGTTGTTTCACTGTTTTGGCAAGAAAACAGGAGAGACTTGCAGTTAGAAAACACCAGAGCCCGAGCTCACAGCAGAACTGCTGATTAACACTTGAAGCGTTTCAAGGACCTGGCACCCGCCACAGATTGGTTTTCATCCATGTTTCCTCCTTGAATGGAAGTATATTCGTCTGTAAACATACATACACATGCAGAAACACGGAGGCCGTCTTTGCCAGCCTCAGTGTGTGCCTTCAGGATGCAAATAATACCTTTCTATATATTATTGTAATGCATTCCTGGAAGTGTATGCAACGCACAGCTCGCAGACATGTTGCTCCCATCTTACTTGTGCACTACATGTCAGAACGCCCAAACCAAAGTCGTGTTTCTGTTAGAAATATACACATCTTTGTCTCTGAACTTTACCAAATTTCATAATCTTATCAGAAGCTATAACCATTTGGAGAAACTATTTGTACTTGGTGAACATTCAGATCAAAACATTAGAGATTATTAATCCAAAATCGAATTTTTTTAAAAAGGAGGATGGATAAGAGGGTCAGAACCAGGCAGGGATCATTAGCTGAATAACAGGAACAGAGCCTTAAAGTTTGCTGATTAAATAAGCATATCCCAAGTATTTATTTCCAATAATCAACGAATCAACTTCCACGTGCAAGAATCAAAACCAAAATTCATATCCATTCATAATGAACCACTCTTATCTAATGTGAGAGTGTGTATATGTGCATGTGTGTGCTCTTGAATGTGCAACGTGCCTTTCCAGGCACACACATCTATGTGTGTATATATAACATACACACAGTGTTTTATTACTTTAGGGGAGGAGGAAATGATAATCAGCAGGCATCTTGCGGCAGCAGAATGGACATAATGGAAATATATACAATAATAAAATTAATATGGTGCATCATTCCCAGATAGGATAATACAGTTCTCAATAAATACAGCAGAAATTTCTTTAAAAAAAAAATCAAACAGACAGACACCATCTCTCCAACCGAGATGAAGTCTTTACAACTTACAAAAAATCATGAAACAAACCCTCCAAATGTCTCATAATTGTTAGTGCCTATGTAGAATATAATACACAATTAGCAGGTGCATGCAAGAGGCAAAAGGCAGAGGAATGAAGAGGCTCTGGTCCACCCTACACCGTGGGGCCCAACATGCCCTAGGTTCTGCAGAAGAGCTTTAACCCGAACGTTCAACTCTCGTCTGCTGCTGCCTCCGCGGTGGAGCTCCCCAGCTGGGGTTGGGAGGAAACTTGGCCTCGATCACGTTCACTGGTGGCCCTGGTGGAGCCCGGGCTGCAGAGGCCCGGGAGGAGGCAGCGGAGGCTGTAGAGGCGGCAGAGTTGCAGGCGGCGGCTGCTGTAGCTGGGGCGGCTGGTCGCTGCCTGGCTCCCCAGCGGGCGTGCGAGTCAGCCCCATGCTGCTGTCATGCAGCTTTCGGACATGCTTCTTGAGGTCAAAGTTCCTGCAGAAGCCCTTGCCGCACGTGGGGCAGGTGAAAGGCTTCTTATCATTGTGGGTGTGCATGTGGAAGGTGAGGTTGTAAACCTGGTGGAAAGCCTTGTTGCAGATATTGCACTTGAACTGCTTCTCCCCGCTGTGGGTCAACTTGTGGTTTTTGTAATTCCCTGTAACAGACAAATGACTAGGATGAGGTTCTGAAAAGAGCTTGAAAAGAAGGGAGTGGACGCATGGAAGGTAGCAAGGCAAACTGAAGAGCTGACACAGCCCTAATCGTGGTGCAGGGCGCTGGTCCGCCTAAGTTAATTTTAAAGCATCAACATTGAGACCATTTCTTCAAATTTTAATGCACACTCATTAGTCTAAATATGCACGAGAACCAGTGATTAAGAAATATTCCTTTGGCATATGGACCATGCCTTTTTCTAACACTAATCTGACTTGCAGTAGCAAGTTATAATTGCAACGTTCGCCCCAGGTGACTTTATAAGTCATTTTCTAAAATATCCTGAAAAGGTTAAGTATGGCTTTGGCTAAGACCACCATGAAAGAAAACATCTCCTGGGTTCCATACCTTTTTGATGAAATCCTTTGCCACAGAATTCACACACAAACGGTTTGTAACCTGCATGTATTCTGGTATGCGTGTTTAAAGTGGAACTTCTATTGAACGCTTTGCCGCACTGGTTGCATTTGTGAGGTTTTTCCTAAGGAAAAGGAGAAAAGACAAAGAATTTAGGATATTTTGTTGTTATTATTATGTGTAGTCCTGCAAGCAAAGCACAGTAATGCTCGAAAATGCTTTGTTTAAGTAAAACAAAGGCAAACAATACACAGCATCTCCTCCTGTCCAGCCGGCACATTTAAACAACTCTTATGCTCTATGGAACGTTTTCCTGCAAGCAGTTACAAAGAATACCAGGTGAAACTGCGACAGATGAACACACCTGCGTGTGAATGATCTTGTGCCTGCAGAGAGTGCTGGCTTGCCGGAAACCCTTTCCACACACTTTGCAAACGAAGGGTCTGGCTCCTGTGTGCACTGGCATGTGACGGGTTAAGTTATAATGCGCGTTGAAGACCTTCAAATTAAACACACATAGAATGGGTTAGCCAAACAAGCAATCTGAAATCAAACCGGGCAGAAGGAGGGTAATGTAACAAGTGTATACAAATAAATATACAAAAGGAAGGAAGGAAGTGAGGAAGCAAGGGAGCAAGGAAGGAAGGAAGGAAAGAAAGATCTCACAGTACTTGCCTTTCCGCATACTTCGCAAGTAAAAACTTTGGGCTTGACATTAGGAGATCCTCGGCTAAAGTCCGAGGTTTTGAACGCGATTTTTTCCGACAAAAGCTGGGCGCTTTCTTTCATGTAATGGTGCAGCTGAGCCTGGGACAGGTCTTTGAAAGCTACTCCAGGAGAATACTTTTCCACCGCCGGAACCACCAGTTTATTCCTTTCAGCTAAATATGTTTTTGGCTGTGGGTGCAAAGGGGAACTGAGAAAGTAGGAGGCCACCGGGTGGATGTTCACGCCAGCAGCCGGGTGGCACGGGCCGTCACCTCGGTTCAGGTAGCATAGGGCGCCCATGGCGTGGAAAGAAGAGTGGTTGACCACACGCGGTCTTACCAGCTTGTACTGCTGCAGTGGCAGCGCGTCGCGGGCCAGGTCACCCTTGAGACTCAGCGCGCAGTTGAGCAGGTCGCTGCAGCTGAACGCGGAAGCCGAGGGCGCCACAGCAGGAGCTGCTGGGGATTCCAGACTCGCCTTCCGCGGCTCCGATCCAGTCATTGCCTTGGAGCTCGTGTCGTATGCTACCGGCACGAAGGGGATCATGCAGGGGATCGAAGAGTTGAGATGCAGAGAGTGCTTTGGGTCCCCCTTGGGCACGGCTCCCTGCAGGAAGTGGGGGACAGGCAGGGCCTTGGGCTCGGGAGTGCGCGCCATGATTCGTTCGATGGAGAAAGCCAAGGGTTTGGATGTGCCCATCACGTTGCCACGAGCTGGAGCAGTTGCTAGCATTTTGGTGGTCGCGTTGTGGCTACTGTCCATGTCTGAGTCGCCAGCGTCCGTCAGCCAGGGCTGGGCTGAGCGGTCGTTGCCTTGTTCCCTGCTTGTCACAGACCTGCGGAGAGGAGGACCGGCACCATCACCATCAGCAGCCTCCTCCTCCTCCTCCCCAGCATCACCAGCCGAACCTGCCAGCCCAGCCCAATGGACTCCTGCCAGCCCATCGCAGAGTTCTTGGCGCACCAATGACTCGGGGACAATCACTACTTATTTCTATCAATAGAAAGTGTTGTGTCAATAACGCAGCCAAGATCTCGCCAATCGTTAACTTCCAAGAGGAGAAGGTAAACTAGATAATTGCTCAATTCGCTTCCAACAGTCAACAGGAAAACTTTTTTTTTCCTCCGCAGTCAGCGACTACTTTTCATTGGTGAGTGAGGTTCCCCCGCCCAGAAGAGGCGGGGGCGCTCTCTCCAGAGCGCAACGCCCTCCCCTAGGCGCACGCACTCACCCGCGCACACTTCGCTACCCTTCAGCCACCCCTCCCCCTTGCTTCCTCGGTCTTTTTAATTCTCAATCTGCTTAACCAGGCTTTAGAGGCCAAGCAAATCTGAGATCAATTTTCTCGTTTAGCTCTAAGTGACATCATCTAAAATCATTGTGCAAGGGCTAAATAAGGAAACAGAGTCTAACTCAGGGGCAAATGCCAGGCTATATTTATCAAACGCCAGCCTCCAGAAAGGCTTGGCCAGGAAGCCTGTGGAAGCAAAACCCAAGGTTTCCTTGTTTGGTTCAACTGGGCCGGGATACCGGCCGGCCGCCTCCTCCGCTGCCTTCTTTCTTCCGCCACTGAGGGTAGCTACACGCTCCCTGCATCCCGGAGTCTCTACCGCCTGTACCAAGACTGGACCGTTTGGAAGACGCCAGCAGGTAACTGGCCTTCCAAAATGCTCCCGAGAATTAAAGGCCTAGGGAGGCTTATTATTATTTTTTTTTTTTTGGTTTTGCGAAGGCGATGCCCCTGGCAATAGGCTTGGGAAAGACGCACTCCCATCCACAAAGTTAAGGGGTTGAAAGGAATAAGCAGGCGTCACACCAGAAGAAGTCTTGACTCGAATCGGACCCAATCCCAAACACACACAAACACCGGCGAGCACGTGCTTCCATAAGTTTACATTGAGAGCTCAGAAAAGGCATTTCTTTAGAAAACCTGTGCTCAGTTAGAGGTCTGAGCAGGCGCTTAAAACACTATACGACGAGAGGAAAGAAATAGAACTTAGTGATTCCCCCACCCTGGCAACTGGAGTCTGCATGCCCCCCTAGAAGCAGTGCAGGGGGCAGCCGCTGCATGCACAGCCGTGCGGCGAGCAAGGTGAACTGCGGCACCGGAATTGTCACAGCTACACTTGTGCTTGCCAAAGAGCGCGTGGAGAACGCGTCGCAGCTATGACCCTCAGCCCGGCACCCTCCAGAAGTGGCGCCTGGGTCCAAACTCCTGGGATTGAGCGGTCGGAGCTTTTGGAGGTTCCGGGAAGACGTCTGTGGCTGAGGCTTAGCTCTTGCGAGTTCCCGCGGCGCAAGCCAGAGCGCGCGGAACACAGCTGCGCGCACCTTCTTGGAGCAGCGGGTTGCAAGCCTGGGATGGTGTGGAGTCCTGCGGCTAGGCGCGCTATAGGGGCTGCAGGTAGTTGAAAAATCCTGCCACTGAATCCGCGCCGCGCGGGGGCTGGGGAGTAGGAGGGAGTGGCGAGAGAGCGCGGAGCTGTAAGCCATAGGAGGCATGGATCGGGCGCTGGGGTAAGTAGCCTCCCGCGCAATCCACGGTGCCATCTGCCTGATGAGTTAACCCCGAGAGGGTGAATGTGGAACGTGTGCCAGGTATTTGGCCAAGTGCGGTGTGTTGTGCTTCTCTGAGAGCATTGGAAAGGGTCAGTAGTGGGAGGTTGAGAGCGAACTAGAAATCTGGTATTGTTGAAGCACTGATCAATTAAATGAGAAGTTGGGCCTCAAACTGACCTCAAAGTATTCCATAGCTCGTTTCCAGAACTTGCCAGACCAGGGACCCAGGCCCCTCAAACCCATCTAGCTCTACTGGAGTGTAAGCCCACTGTCCCGGAACCAAGAGCACTGGAAACCAAGAGAGCTTAGACTGGGAACGCGCCGCTGTTAATACCCAGTGGGAGAGGCAGGGTAGCTGGGTGGATGGTGAAACCTTTTAGAGGTTGGGGGCAGCCAAGGGGCCAGATGGAGGAGAGGTCTGGCTTTATGCCCCCGGCCTTAGCTAGGCCTGGGAGTGCCTCCTTTCAGGTCTCTGGTTGGCTCTGTCTGGGAAGATAGATGCATTATGGAAGGGCAGGAGGAGGCGAGCGCTGGGCACCAGGGCATAGCTGGGAAAGAGCGCCACACAACCCAGCAGGGTCTTCAGAGCCTCCTTTGGTCGGGCTTGCCCCCAAACTGGAAATTTACGTCTCTTTTACTTTTGGGGCCGCAGAACCTGTCTTCTTTCCCCTGCTCAGACAAAGGGCGCAGGACAGGCTTTGCTGGAGAAAGGGGTGGGGGTGTCCCTGTCCCACGACAGATGGGTTAAGACTTTAATTGCTGCCTTTTGGGGCAGATCAGGTTCCCCTTCATACCTGCCTCTTCCCAACAGCGAAAAATAGCCCTCCTGCTGCACTCTTCACGACAGGTCCAGGTTTAAAGAAAAAAGCAAAGAAGCACGAAACAGCCCAACTTTGGAAAGCTTTGCAGCGCCCAGCTGACTTGTACAACTCACCGGCCTCCGGAGCATTACCTGTCTTCTTGAATGAATGCCACCAGTTTGTTTTACGTTTGTCGCGTGTCCCTCCCTCTTTTTCTTCTCCCCCTCCCTCTCCCCTCTCTTTAACGGCAAAGAGCCTTCATTTGACCTGGTAAATTTCTCCTTCAGTGGACACTAAATTAAAAAGAGGTTTACATGTTTTGTATAGTTAACATTTCAACGGTTTGCTTTTCACTGGTCTTTTCGGGTTTGCCTTTTTGGCAAATGTTTGAAGTGTCATTTGAGTAACACAAATATGGCAAGGCATCAATTATGCCCTTCTTTTAAGATAGCCCTGAGTTTGGTAGTCCTGAAAACTGAAGAGGTGCTTTACAAATCCAGATCTTGATATGCCAATATTTGTTAATATTTTTCATACTACCAACATGTGTGTTAACTTTTAATAATATATCTGTAAAGAAGGAATTGTCTTAAAATACAAAACGCGTTTAGAAAGGGTTTCTATCTTATTGTCAAATGCATTCATACCTTATCTCCAAATGTTTGAAAATAACAGAAAAACTAGTAGGTGCAGAGCATATTTGGAAAATTTAGAAGCTCCTAAAGGGTGGAACATGTTAGAATGTATAACTTGCTAAAAAGAAGACAAAAGTAGCTTTGTTTGTTTTGTTAATGGCAAAATAGAAACTCTCTTATAGATTCTTTGGATTTTCTTTGAGAATCCGATAATCCTCCTTTTTCTTGGTTTAGAGCTGATGGTTAAAGTGCTCCTTTCCCTCCCTTCCATGGAAAGGCAGCATTTATTTCCCCTTCCCAACCACCTTAAATTGTGGTGGAAGATGAATTTTAAGTGTTAGGTTTGTTCTGTATAAAATATCCTAAGGGAGCCAGACCCATCACTGATATGAAGAGGCCAGAAAAAAAAAAAAAAACAACCAAAAAAACCCCTTGTTTTAAAACCATCTGAAAAAAAAAAGAAGCAAATCCTACTTTTCAAAATGATTAAAAGTTATCTTTTTTCTAGGGAATTTAACTTGCTTTCAATGCATCCTAAACTGTGTTCTTGACATCACTCAGAATTTGCATAATTTTCCCAGTAATTTTTACTTAAGTCCCTGTCACAAGCAAAGGTAGTTTCTGGTCAACTTTACTGCAGTCAGAATAATATAATAGATCCCAAAATAGCCAAGTAATCTTGAAGTAGTCTTTAATTGCTCCTTCCTTAATAAGTCAAAAAAAAAGTACTGTTGAATTTCTAATAAATAAATAAAAATAAACTGAAAAACATTGTAACATACCCAATCTTCTCCCAAGTGCATTGCCTCATCTCTGGTCATATTTTTAGGGTTTCCAGGTCTGTCAACCACTTCTGACCCCTGCTCCTTTGCCAAAAACAACAATCACTTTCTCTTTGTTTAGTAGCTGCAGTGAACCGAAAGAGACATTAATATTCGGATACCCTCCCCCCATATACATTCAGGTGCATTTTACACTTTTTTCTTATTTAATAAATTGCACCAAAGCAACATACTGTTCTTTTAGAAGAGGAAAAACATTCCTAAATTCCTCTACAGTATTTATCTCTTACTGGTCATTTGTTATTTCTTCTGGAGGCAGGGTAATGGAATAGGACCCAAATAGGAAAGGTCTGCATGGTTCAAGGAAAGAGGCTTTTTGAGTATCTGGGAGGAGTTAATGAGTTCACAGTGGGAACTGACTTTCTAGTCTATTAATATAAACATGGGCAACAAGTTCAAATTTAAGGATACTGTTAGTTTGTCAGCAAATAAAGAATTCTTGCTAATTTTGTATAGCCGAGGAAAGAGGGTAGCACAGGTTAGGAGTATGGGAACTCCCTGAGCCTTCTTTTCTGTTAGGGGAGGAGAAGCAAGAGGGCGGTCTGTTGTTTGTCTCTAGACCTTTGTTGTTACTGTTTCTTTTATATTAGAGTTTCCTTTAAATCCAGTGAAATTATTCCTCTCAAAACAGTATTTACATATTAAATCAGTTTGTAAAAGAAAGTGGAGTCCAATGCGGAGCTGTAAATGAGGCGGGAGACAATGATCATTCCGGGCTGGTTGGTTTCTGTCCCCACACTAATGCTGGGATTTCTCTCACCGGTTCCCACAGGCCTGTGTGGCGCGTCCCTCCGGACTGTGAGGCAACGACTCAGGACCAAACTTGATGGAAAAAGAAGTTTATGAACAAGGAGTCCAATTTTCCCAACTTTTCGTGGAGCCGCTTAAAAATGAAGCAACAACAAACCTAGCAAAGTTTTGCTTTGTAATTTGCAATGGTATTACTGAAAGCTGAGAAGTGGGCAATTACAAGAGGACATCACAGACATACTACTTGTTCCAAACTGATAACCTGCCCAAAATGATGGGAAAAGCTGGTTAGCGCGATTGGCTGATTAGCGTTTAGCAGCAGTCTCCAGAAAGTTTTAGGAAGTAATTTCCTGGTAAAAAATAAAAACCATATTCACCATACAGAGCGACTCTTTCCTTGATACTGCCCGGGAGGTATAAAGTAGTTTTGATAGTATTTTCAAACTTTCTTCCCCAAATGATCCCAT